TCAGCATCGTCATTGTGAACATGTTAGCGTGATAATATTACCATTTAACTCAGAGCACAGCTGTGTGTTATGTCTTATCTGCTAGTGCAGCTGTGGACGTGCTTTGTGCTTCAGTGCCAATTAACAAATGCAAACACGTTAATGGTACAAATGATACATGCTAAACATTAGCATGTTAGCACTGTTATTGTGAGCATGTTAGCTTGCTGATGTTAGCATTTTTAGCTTACAACCAAGTGACTAAAATAAAGAAAGAGACGTGCTGGTGAATGCTGAAAAGACAAATACAGAACACATTAGCTGACTCACTTAGAAAGACGATTATATTCTGTACAGCTATGAACACACACACACACACACACACACACACACACACACACGCAGGGCTATTGTTGCCAAGCCGTAACTGTGGTTAAGCTATCCTGTGCTGTACCTGCCAGAGGATTAGACAGTGGACAGTGGTGATAACAGCCACATGATCCCCGGGCCTCTGCACCACTCTTATCTAATTCATTCTTTCCTCGCCGTGTGTTTGTGTGCGAACGTGTGAATTTGTTTTTGTTGTTTCTGGATGCACGTCGCTGTATTTTTTCTCCCTGTAAGCGGCTCCATGAAATCAGCAGACACAACTTAATGCACACCGGACAGATTCAACCATCAAGCTTATTAGAAAATCAACTGCACAGATCGTTGACCGTTCAGACAGAAAGCTTTTTAAGGAAGAGGAAAATCTCTGGGGCCTCTTCAGAATGGCCTGTTAGAGAGGTTTATAGTGTTCAGAGCTACTGTGACAACAACACTCTTACACAGTAGATACTCTAAATACACCACATGTCAGACTCTCTCAGAATCACTGAAGTTTTTTAATATTATCCACTCAAACCAGCACATACAGTGAGTGAATCTATTATTTATTATGAGGAAAAACAACATGAATTTCTTTAATATCTCTAAAATATATAATAATAACAATAATAATAATAATAATAACGATATATTTACGGCAGCAGCGCAGTCTAAGTACCGAAAGTCACAGAAAAATAAACTTCTCATTCACTCATTAAAACCCAACACGGCTTTACAACTCGGTTTAAACTTCAAACAGCATCAAATGTTCATTGTTTGATGCTCATTACAGCTCACTGCAGCACCCGGGCCTGTTGGTGTGGTTCACCGCAGGATCTCTGTGCGTCTACACACATTTTCCCTCCTTTTTTTTTTAACCACATACACACATCAAAAGAGCACAAGGGGCTCGAGTTTCCTGTAATGCAAGTACATTCTTCTTTAAGCCCTCCACCTCTTCACCCCAGCCCACTTGGCACCTTTTGTACCTCATATAAACACTTGCACACACACATACACATACACACATACACACATATTCACACACTCACGCAGCTGTTACAGTAGACCGGGGGAGTTGGCGGTCATGCAGCACGGTTAGGTTTCCCACACCTAGACCTACCATCAGGGGCAGGGGACTTCTCACCAAGGAAACCCCAGTTTCACAAAGGTCGGCCTCATGTGGGACGACCATTGTCATCATCATATCCTCCAGAAACCTTTCACACTCCATTTTCATGTCACATTTTGTTTTCTTTATCTTTCTGTATGTTCAGCTAACTGTTCTCTACATATCTGGGTTGTGTCTTTGTTCAGCAGCTTTACAATGATCCTTGTTTCAGTCTCCCTGCGACCTTCAGTGTAAAGTAACTGACATTTATAAAGAAAACAGCTGATCAGCTGCGTATCTGATAAACAGAGGCGCATAAAGTCACCCAGTAACGAGATCACACATTAGCAGTTTGTCCGTATTGAAGAGAGTTTCTGTCGGTGTGAGTTTCTCGTTGTTTTTTCGTTGCTTCGGCGTTCGGCCTGACTCATGAAACTGTGGATTTCTTGTGAGTTTAAAGCGCACGGCTCAGGGAGCTGCTTCCAACACTGTAGAAATCAGTGCAGTGAAGAGTAAGAGAAAAAAAAATCAAGGACATTCAGGGCGAAACACTTGATCCAGCAAAGATAGTGGTTATAGGCGATGGCTATAACTGAGCAGCAGCAGCAGCAGCAGCAGCAGCAGCAGCAGATAACCTTGGTGGAATCTGACTGATGCTCATATCACAACTACTGAAACTCAAGACGGGAATTTAAAAAGGAAAAAGAAAAACTCCCACAAAACGATTGTTGCTTTGAAAGATAAAGAACATGATTGGTTGTAATCTTAAAGCCTGAACGTACAAAATGATGTTTGAGGGTTTGAGTTGTGTGGATCTGCAGGGTTTTGTTTTCCGTGGATAAACTCTGTGTATCTGCTGGATCAAAGGAAGAAACCCCCGAGAGTTCAACACTAATAAGAAGACACAATGAAAACATCACAGAATTACTGACTCCACCATGTTATCAGCTGATCAAAAAGGTTTTGATTTTCTAGATATTTCTTTATTATTCTTCGTTGATATGTTGAGATTTGCTTCATCGTCCCTTTACGTTATTAAATTATTTCACAGTCAAACGACACGGTCCTGTGAAGCGCTCCTGTTCTGCTAAATGAATATGTGGCGTCCCAGAGCTCATTTTCACTCAGGAATGGAAGTGTACGACCTCCATTTCTGGAAGGACTCATTAAATCATCTTATTTCTCATGTAATAATTGCGTAATTACTCCGAGTTGATCCTCTCGCCGAGGCTCAGCTCGCCCACGGCGCCCTGAAGACGAGCTCGCGACCGTGTCAGTGTCAGGAGACACACACGTTTACAGGATTAGTTCAACTTTCGTGCTGAGAAAATATCTCACGTATCCGACATGTCATGTTGTTGTCGTGTCGTCTCATCTTAGGAAAACAAGGTGTTTCTGAGACGTTAAACCGAGGCCTTTCACTGGACTTTAATGAAGCCGTGCGACGGTCTGAGGCTGTAAACGCATTCAAGCGTTTGACACAGACAAAACAGCGTTACAGACGGTTCACTGACACCAGAGACTGATGTCAGATCAGCACAGGTGTTACTGCTCTTTATGGTTTTCCTCTATATAAATCCATGCGGCCGACTTCATGCAGCTCCACTCCGCAGCGCGCTGACTGAGATATACCTCCGTGAATCAATCTCATCCTCCTCATTTCACGGTGAATTGTTTCTCGTTCCCTCTTCGGGGCGCCTTCGCAGCGAAAGGTCAGAGGAGGAGGTCGCGCTTTTTCTAAATGATAAAAGATCGGCCGTGTTGGCCACACACCAGTTAAACAGTATTGATCTGTATGTGCAGAGGTGTGTTAGTGAAGTAGATAACACACAGCTCGTACATCCTCTGTGACCTGCGCTTAACACTGCATTTCTCTGGGAGTGGTTTATTTATGCATCACTTATAGATCTGGCTGAAAGCTTTTATTTTGATACCCATGGACATATGTGTCTTCTTTATCAAACATATACGATATGATCTTTCCCATTATCAGATCTACTGATTCTTTTATAGATATTACCTTTAAATGAAGCCAATTAAAAAGAAAGTGCGGCAGACGATGAGGGAGAGATGATGTCAGAAGAGCTACAGCATCTTCGAGGCGTGATGCAGCAAAGCAGTGAAGCGTGAGTGACTGTGCGGGTGGAGGTGTGCGGGGCAGCTCAGACTGTATTTCCAGCAGCGAGAAGGACAGAGCGATGGTCACGGCCAGCTCAGCGTTTTCTCCAACAACAGCGATGATGACGGTCCAGGGAGGACGGTGATGCAGTGTCATTACTTTGACCTTTTCTAGCGAGCATTTCGCTTTCTCCCTGCGTCGCATCAACGTCGCGCTCCAGGTTAAAACGACTTTGTAATTTGTGGAGGCGTCCACTGGCTCATTGTCCCTGTGAAAATACAATAAAATAATAAAAAAGACATTTGTTATATAGTGTGATACAGACAAACACAAGCTGTTTTAATTAGTGTCGGAGATCTCTAATAAACTGACCTTATAGAGCATCTTGGTTCAGAGGATCCCAGCTGACTGACCAGACGAGGCACACGTTGTTCCACACGCACACATCTCAGTAACTCATTCACGATCCCCAGCAGGTGAATTACAATTACTCTGGTGACCCCCCCCCCTTCAACTTACACTTAGTTATTAACTGATCTGTGGACAGTTTTACTTTCTAGTTAGGGTTAGTGGGAGGTGTGAGCATCCGTTCAGGTTTGTGTGAATGTGTCTGTCCAGAGTAATTCTCTATTAATGTCTGGCAGACCACGATGAGCGGAGGGAAATCAGAGCACCACATCCTCCGATCCACAGCTCTGTGTGAAGGCTGCTGCTGCTGCTGCTGCTCTCCCTCCGCTCTGCGTTCACGCCGCTGCACAATGTGTGTGTTTGAAACAGCAGCGGAGGAGAGGAGGGCATCAGTCAAAGTCAGGGGAAGGTGACAACCTCATAAGCAAGCGATCGGGTTCGGGAGTAAAAAAGCCGAGGCGCTGTGAAAGTGCCGGGCTCGCCTTTCACAGTGCGAGGTACAAGAAGCTTCTCCGTTCGCACCGGGCTGACAAACTGAATTCTCCTGAGGTATTTCAGACACAGCAGAACACCCAGACGGCCCGTTAACCCCCCCACCCCCTCGCTCGGCCTCTGGCCCCACGCCCTGCCTTCATCTGTCACAGCTCAATGACATCACACCTGAAATGGAAAACACTGATATTGACACCACGCTGGTTTCCTCCATTCTGACCCGACGTCCCATAATACCACCAATAAAATCTCTTCTTCTTTCAGCGCCGTCCTGCTGCGATGTCTTCCTCTTTCTCCACCTCCTTCCTCTCTCTCTCTCCCTTTGTCACTCCTCTTCCACTGTCACTAACTCATCCTGTCATCCACCACCTCCTTCTCACATGTCCCGGTTTCCTGCTCCATTTCTGGAGTGTCACCGGTGTAATACAAGAATGTCTCCTGAGTTGTCGCTCTGCTCTCCAGCGACCTTGTTTTTAACCTTGTCCCCTCTCTGCCCCCCCCCCCCCCATCTCTTTTCTCCAACAGCCAAGATGGCAATGAGCAGCATCCTCAACGCTGATGACATCAAGAAAGCTCTAGATGCATTTGCAGGTAAAACGCTCGCCACAGATAAATCAGAGGTTCTCAGGCAGCGCCGAAACTCAGCGTCGGTGTTTTAGGCTCCAAAAACCACATGTGAGACATTTGAGCCTCAGCGGCTGTTGCTATGGCGAGGAAGCTAGTCAGAGGCGTGAACTAAAACGGTCCTGCATCCAGAACCGTACAGGTGGTAGCGGCCTGACGTCGTCATGACTACAATAATAAACAGGAAGTTAAACAAGATTTGGTTAAATTTAAGCACAAAAGGAATAAAGATCATGGTTTGGTGCTTCCTTAAAGTTAGAGGGGCCTTTGTTGTCATGGTTACAATAATGAACACACAGTCAAGGTTGTGGAAAGGTCATGGATGAAAAGAAGCTTCATCGCTATTTTATAGATTTTTTAGCTTAAATTTTGTTGTTTGTTTTAAAAATATTTTTAATTGTAAAGCACACAGTAACTGTGTTTAGAAAAAGTGCGATAGAAATAAAGTTTATCGTCGTTGTTATTGCGACTAAATTCCTCCAGAATTGAACCAGAATCCAGAGGTGAATGATCTGAACTGGAGGTTGCGTCTCCTGTTTTCTCTCCTGCGTCCAGCTGCAGTCAGCAGCCTGTGACACGATGTTCAGCAAACACACGTTTGTACAAAAGAGAGAGATTTGCAGTCTGCAGGATCACATCTGTCGATATCGCTTTTTCAGTGTATATATAGACTGTATTTATTTTAAAGTATTTTATATTTGAATTCAGCTGATGTCAGATGTGCGTGAGTGGTCTGATGTTTATATCCTTATGATGGCGCATATAATGATTACACGCCAGTAACGAGATCACACATTTAGCAGTTTGTCCGTAATTGAAGAGAGTTTTCTGTCGTGTGAGTTTCTCGTTGTTTTTTCCCGTTGCTTCGGCGTTCGGCCTGACCTCATGAAAACTGTGGATTTCTTTGTGAAGTTTAAAGCGCACGGCTCAGGGAGCTGCTTCCAACACTGTATGAAATCAGTGCAGTGAGAGTAAAGAAAAAAAAATCAAGGACTTCAGGGCGAAACACTTGATCCAGCAAAGTAGTGGTTATAGGCGATGGCTATAACATACTGACAGCAGCAGCAGCAGCAGCAGCAGCAGCAGCCAGATAACCTTGGTGGCAATCGTTTGACTGATGCTTCATATCACAACTACTGAACTCAAAGACGGAAATTTAAAAAGGAAAAAGAAAAACTTCCCACAAAACGAATTGTTGCTTTGAAAGATAAAGAACATGATTGGTTGTTAATCTTAAAGCCTGAACGTACATAAATTGATGTTTGAGGGTTTGAGTTGTGTGGATCTGCAGAGGTTTTGTTTTCCGTGGATAAACTCTGTGTATCTGCTGGATCAAAGGAAGAAACCCCCGAGAGTTTCAACACTAAATAAGAAGACACAAATGAAACATCACAGAATTACTGACTCCACCATTTATCAGACTGTCAAAAAAGGTTTTTGATTTTCTAGATATTTTCTTTATTATTGTCTTCGTTGATATGTTGAGTATTTGCTTTCATCGTCCCTTTACGTTATTAAATTATTTCACAGTCAAACGACAACGGTCCTGTGAAGCGCTCCTGTTCTGCTAAATGAATATGTGGCGTCCCAGAGCTCATTTTCACTCAGGAATGGAAGTGTACGACCTCCATTTCTGGAAGGACGTCATTAAATCATCTTATTTCTCATGTAATAATTGCGTAATTACTCCGAGTTGATCCTCTCGCCGAGGCTCAGCGTCGCCCACGGCGCCCTGAAGACGAGCTCGCGACCCGTGTCAGTGTCAGGAGACACACACGTTACAGGATTAGTTCAACTTTCGTGCTGAGAAAATTACTCACGTATCCGACATGTCATGTTCGTTGTTCGTGTCGTCTCATCTTAGGAAAACAAAGGTGTTTTTCGAGACGTTAAACCGAGGCCTTTCACTGGACTTTAATGAAGCCTTGTGCGACGGTCCCTGAGGCTGTAACGCATTCAAGACGCTTTGACACAAGACAAGAACAGCGTTACAAGACGGTTCACTGACACCAGAGACTGATGTCAGATCAGCCACAGGTGTTACTGCTCTTTATGGTTTTCCTCTATATAAATCCATGCGGGCCGACTTCATGCAGCTCCACTCCCGCAGCGCGCTGACTTGACGATATACCTCCGTGAAATCATCTCATCCTCCTCATTTCACGGTGAATTGGTTTCTCGTTCCCTTTCTTCGGGGGCGCTTCGCAGCGAAAGGTCAGAGGAGGAGGTCGCGCTTTTTTCTAAATGATAAAAGATCGGCCGTGTTGGCCACACACCAGTTAAACAGTATGATCTGTATGTGCAGAGTGTGTTAGTGAAGTAGATAACACACAGCTCGTACATCCTCTGTGTGAACCTGCGCTTAACACTGCATTTCTCTGGGAGTGGTTTATTTATGCATCACTTATAGATCTGGCTGAAAGCTTTTATTTTGATACCCATGGACATATGTGTCTTCTTTATCAAACATATACGATATGATCTTTCCCAATTATCAGATCTACTGATTCTTTTATAGATATTACTTTAAATGAAGCCATATTAAAAAGAAAGTGCGGCAGACGATGAGGGAGAGATTGATGTCAGAAGAGCTACAGCATCTTCGAGGCGTGATGCAGCAAAGCAGTGAAGCGTGAGTGACTGTGGCGGTGGAGGTGTGCGGGGCAGCTCAGACTGTATTTCAGAGCTGAGAAGGACAGAGCGATGGTCACGGCCAGCTCAGCGTTTTCTCAACAACAGCGATGATGACGGTCCAGGGAGGCGCGTGATGCAGTGTCATTACTTGACCTTTTCTAGCGAGCATTTCGCTTTCTCCCTTGCGTCGCATCAACGTCGCGCTCCAGGTTAAAACGACTTTGTAATTTGTGGAGCGTCCACTGGCTCATTGTCCCCTGTGAAAATACAATAAAATAATAAAAAAGACATTTGTTATAATAGTGTGATACAGACAAACACAAGCTTTTTTAAAATTAGTGTCGGAGATCTCTAATAAACTGACCTTATCAGAGGCATCTTGGTTCAGAGGATCCCAGCTGACTGACATGACGAGGCACACGTTGTTTCCACCACGCAACACATCTCCAACATCATTCACGATCCCCAAGCAGTGAATTTAAATTACTTTTGCTCCGGTGCCCCCCCCTTCAACTTACACTTAGTTATTAACTGATCTGTGGACAGTTTTACTTTCTAGTTTAGGTTAGTGGGAGGTGTGAGCATCCGTTCAGGTTTGTGTGAATGTGTCTGTCCAGAGTAATTCTCTATTAATGTCTGGCAGACACGATGAGCGGAGGGAAATCAGAGCACCACATCCTCCGATCCACAGCTCTGTGTTGAGGCTGCTGCTGCTGCTGCTGCTCTCCCTCCGCTCTGCGTTCACGCCGCTGCACAATGTGTGTGTTTGAAACAGCAGCGGAGGAGAGGAGGGCATCAGCCAAAGTCAGGGGAAAGGTGACAACTCTCATAAGCAAGCGATCGGGTTCGGGAGTAAAAAAGCCGAGGCGCTGTGAAAGTGCCGGGCCCGCCTTTCACAGTGCGAGGTACAAGAGACTTCTTCCGTTCGCACCGGGCTGACAAATACTTGAATTCTCCTGAGGTAATCAGACACCACCAGCAGAACACCCAGACGGCCCGTTACCCCCACCCCCGCTCGGCTGCTCGGCCCCACGCCCTGCCTTCATCTGTCCAAAGCTCAATGACATCACACCTGAAATGGAAAAACACTGATATTGACACCACGCTGGTTTCCTCCATTCTGACCCGACGTCCCATAATACCACCAATAAAATCTCTTCTTCTTTCAGCGCCGTCCTGCTGCGATGTCTTCCTCTTTTCTCCACCTCCTTCCTCTCTCTCTCTCCTTTGTCACTCCTCTTCCACTGTCACTAACTCATCCCGTCATCACACACCTCCTTCTCACATGTCCCGGTTTCCTGCTCCATTTCTGGAGTGTCACCGGTGTAAATAAAGAATGTCTCCTGAGTTGTCGCTCTGCTCTCCAGCGACCTTGTTTTTAACCTTGTCCCCTCTCTGCCCCCCCCCCCCCCATCTCTTTCTCCAACAGCCAAGATGGCAATGCAGAGCATCCTCAACGCTGAATGACATCAAGAAAGCTCTAGATGCATTTGCAGGGTAAAACGCTCGCCACAAGATAAATCAGAGGTTCTCAGGCAGCGCCGAAACTCAGCGTCGGTGTTTTAGGCTCCAAAAACCACATGTGAGACATTTGAGCCTCAGCGGCTGTTGCTATGGCGAGGAACTAGTCAGAGGCGTGAACTAAAACGGTCCTGCATCCAAGAACCGTACAGGTGGTGCGGCCTGACGTCGTCATGACTACAATAATAAACAGG